GAGAGGAGTTTTCGACCAAAGTTGCAGCAATCAACGAATTTGTGGAGCATATTCACCGAGGACTACATCAGGCCAAGGAGAAGTTGGTGATAGCTCAAAATCGGCAAAAGCAGCATGCCGATGCTCATCGTAGAGAAGTGGTTTTTGAGTTTGGAGATCATGTTTGGTTATCTACAACGAATTTGTCTCTTGTAGGAACACCAAAGTTGAACCCTATGTTCATTGGTCCATTTTTGGTTTTGAATCGTGTTGGTGAAGTGTCATACAAGTTGGAACTTTCATCACATATAAAAATACAGTATTTCATGTGTCACGATTGCGAAAACATGTACCACGACCCAAACCATTCACCAACCAACCAGCACCACCTCCTCTTCCAACCTTGATAGCAGATCATGAGGAGTTTGAGGTAGAAAAGATACTCAAGAAACGTATTCGAGGTCATAAATATCCCAAAGTAGAGTATTTGATTCAATGGAAAGGCTATCCATCGTATGAATCAACTTGGGAACCAGCTAAAAATTTAGCAAATGCACCTTTGATAGTCTAGGATTTTGAACGTATGTGCAACGAGAACGTTGCATATTAAAAGGAGGAAGGTTTGTAACCATCTTTAGTTAGTTAGAACTAAAGTAGAGGTTACTCTAAATATTGATGTAGATACTTTAGTGTGCACTAGAGCTAGCTGCCACGTCAGCAATCCGTGTGCTTGTAGGTAAGGATTGAGTTTGTTAGTTAGTGTGTTAGTTGGGTGCGCCACGTCAGCGATCCGTGTGCTTGTTAGGGTTATCCGCCACGTCATCCATTCACTAGGAGTGGGATGGATGGTGGGGATTAGATCTTATCTCCTTGTACTTGTTGGTGAGAGCTATATAAGGGAGAGAGGAACCATTGTTATTATTTCTCATCTTCAGAGTTTACGTTTCTATCTTCGAGTGAGCTTCTCTTTAAACCCTAGTGTTACAAAATCACTACAAGAAATTTTCAAAATACGAGGAGTTTCACTCTATACCAGCATATATAAACTTTAAAAATCTCTCATATTTCTACTTTGACATTGTGGCATGGCGAACCACATAGTATGATAACCTCTATAAATAAATAAATAAATAAATATAATATAGAATACTAATGTAAACATGAATTAAACATCTGGATAGAAAATAATTTTAGACGAGTAAATTTAACTTTGTTATGATCATTTCTGTTCATGATAGTCAAATTCATTGATTTTTGGTTATGTTAAAAAATTAATACATTTGACATAAAAAATTTTTTAAGGATTGAAGGGGGTGTGTGTGTGTATATATATATATATATATATATATAAAAACAAAAAAATAGCCTAAATATGAACAACTAACCTGATTTGCTCAATATGTTATGACCTAATGAGTTGTAGTTTCCAAATTGTATGAAGTTCATTGTTCTAAACTGCCAAGCTTTTGTCATGGCTCACGATCCACGCTCGGTCTGCAGACTGGTTTTGGTTTATTCTGTTGGCTGTGATTACTAAGAAAACAAGAACTTGCTCGTCCCTTAGTAGTCACAAGGGTGATTTCTAAGATTTCTTTTAACAAAATGAGGACAAAACTAAAAACTTATACTATGAAAAATTTATTTCAATGGTATATTTATCTTATACCGTTTTCACAGTTAAATTCTTGAAAACAAATTTATAATTTTTTCACTGCATTATTGATGTATATTGAAAACAAATTAGTGTACAAAAATGAAGGTTTTTGTAAACTTGCTCATTGCTGTACATACTTTGGAACCTGATTTACATTTGATAGAATTAATGAGTGTTGTTTCACACGAAATGGTTACGGAGTTGGAACCAGGAGCTAAACACGAAATAGGTCTTTCAGGTTCTAAAGTTGTTTTGCATTGTGTGCTTGTCTATATGTCCACTATGGCAACGATATTGCTTGTCTATATGTCCACTATGGCAACGATATTATTTGTTACACAGTGACAACAAAAGTTATATGTTTCTGCTAACAAAGATATGTCTTAGCTAAATTGAAAATGTGTCACGTATACTTTAGCTTTCCATACGTTCTCAAGAATCCTCCCAAGTACCGGTGAAAAGAAGATGAATACACTTTCCATTTCAGCCATAGAATGAATGAACAAAATAGAAAATCGGAGAGAACTGAACTTCATACCAAAAAACTTTGTATAATCAAAGAAACAAATTATTAAGCTTGCAATGGATGAGATGATGATGGGTAAATTCTTGGAAAGTTGAATTTTCCTCACATCCAACACTGTTCATTTAGAGGGTAATGGTAAGTGGTAATGAGGGAATGATTTTGTACCAAAAATTTCTTTTTGTCATATTCTGTTTTGCAATCATTAATTTTAAAATTCCAGAATAAAATGACATAAGAAAAAAGTGAAAAGTTGAATCTTAGTTGTCTTTGAAAAGTGTTCATTCGACAATGTCACAATGTCAAGCAATGTGCTATAGGTTGAACTTATACCTTTTACCAATGTAAACTTATTCTTCTCTAGGTTTTTTTACATAATAGATTATGTTTGATGTTTGATGTTGAATATATAATTTTTTATGATTAAAGAAAAAACTCAAAACTCATTGAAAAATCAGTATTTTTTTTATAATAAATTTCGTAATAGTTTAGACACAGTTCAACACACAATAATTTTTATATACATATGATACATGTCATTTGATTGATATTTTGTATGCATCGATGGCATATAAAAAATAATTTGAGCTGTATCACTGAAAAGTATTTTTTTGATAAGTTAAATATGATGATTTTAATATGAAGTCTTTGTATTCATTAAACTGAAATGTAAAATGTAAAATTTTTAATTATGTTTTTTAATTATGTTTAATGATTTTATTCAAATCCGTAGACTACTCCAGAATTATTTCTACTACTTCAATATGTTTGATATGTATCACTATGCGATATTCTAGAAACGATCAAATCTAATTTCAAAGTATTTGAAACTTTTATTCTTTATTATTTCATGTTGAGATTTGAACACAAATTCTCATTTTCACATGATTGCTGTTTTTAGGACTATGGTAACATAAAAAAATTTCATTGTCGTGATTTCTCCTGTGTTGTGTAATAACCCTCGACTTTGATATGGTTATATGAAATTTAGCTAATATGACAGCGTGCAATGAGGGTATATCTTGAATCGGTTTAGTAAGTATAGTATCATTGTGGCAATATATTGTTGTTGGCTAACCTTGCTTGTCCTAATTTAGATCATGATCCGTCTTATGAACCCAAGTATAGTTGGATCGATGTGCATTGTCAAAATAACCGTAGAGGAGTATATCTTTAACTAGGAGCCACTTTTCCGTGCCGTAGATTTTATGGTTTCAGTACATGAGCTATACCACAGTTTTCTTTCTTTTTGGTCATCAATATGAAGTATGAACATATATAATTTTGTGGGTTGTGTGAGATAGTTCTTTGATTTGAAAAAGAAGAAGATCTTGAGTCTGTTGGTAGACTTACAAGCTACTTGGCGTCTTCCATACTATTGTGAAGTATGAAAAGATGTAATCACCCCACAATTAATCGAACTGCGGCAAGTAAATCTACGACATGGGATGCGAACAATTATAGTGCTACTTCTCCTTCGAAGTTCCGAGGAGGGCACAGCTATCGATATACCAATATACTTCATGTTTCATGTTATGCTCTTTATAATGATCAAACTTTGCAGTTATCCCACCCCAAAAAAAGTAAGAGGCAAGATATTGACATTGTGGTTCCGAAATATGGAGCAATTTTTTATTCATAATACAGATTCTCACTGAATTGTTGGAACTATCATAGTTCATAATCAAGGCTTACAATACGTAACTGAAGATGATAAATATACTACCTGAAAATATGAAACCTCTTGAATTTCTGCTCATCAAGTGGCACTATATTTGTTCGCATCCCATGTAGTAGATTTACTTGCCGCAGTTCGATTAATTGTGGGGTGATTACATCTTTTCAAACTTCACAATAGCATGGAAGACGCCAAGTAGCTTGTAAGTCTACCAACAGACTCAAGATCTTCTTCTTTTTCATATATAGTGGATTGAGTTAGATTTCCGATTTCGTGACTCAATAGCCGCTCGCGGAGATTAAGAAGCATCAGAAGACAAAGTAGAAACTGCCTTTAGCAAAGTCGGCTTTAGTGCAATACTCCACACTTGAAAAAGACTCCAACGTACCACGTTTCCGTGTCGTGTGCTCCACTGCGTTGGGGGTGGCGCCGAGGTTGGGTCCACGCACAATTCACATATTTGGTGATGGAAGCCGTTTAGTTAGTTGGCTTTTACCGAAACGTGTGCTCTGGCTGTTAACTCCGAACAAACAGGTTCACAGCCAGACGACTACGACGTTGTTTAGACTTTTTCCATGGTAGTGGTTAACTATGCCAAAGTGGGGGTTGGCTGGTGGCAGCATGTTTGACTTTCTCTTCGCCGATTTTCCAGCTGAGATTTCAGCTCAATCCAGTAACGTCCAAATCCCATGTACGTAAGATCAGTAAAGCCATGCGGACTCTGATTCGTGAGCGTATGCATTGACGGTGTCATTGTTCACAGCAACCAGAAGCCGAAATCATAACCGAAGATTGGCTCGTAATGGCCACTGAATTTTTCGGTGGCCAGAGCTGTGCATTCGGTTCGCAGAAAATGCTCAATTCGGTGCATGCGATTGGAAATCTGGACGTGCGAAGAACTTTCAACTCAAAGCAGCTAATCATGCATAGACAAGAACATGAGAATAATGAAGAGAAGCCGGGACAGCGACGACAATCTCAGAACGAATGCATCGTGTGCAGAGAAGAGGAGTGAGAGATGGATTGCTAATCCACCATATACCGTTGAATGAAAGAACCGAGGGGGAATATACAAGGTTCACGGAACGGTGGTGAGGGCTAGAAAAAAATCATAGTATCATCTAGAAAATGGTGACTGTAATGGCCAGCACCGAAATTCAATCTGCCTACAAGCTCTTGCAGTCCGCGGGTACCCAGCCGATCTGTAAATTGTCTTCGTCGTAAAGCACTTGGAAATTCTGCTGCTGAATATTGCCGAAAATGCTCAACCCAGTGGTCTCAAGCAACGCCAAGCACATGACAGTGTCGGTGCCGGTGGTGGTGAACTGAATCATAATATTGTCGAACGGCAGGTCGAAATCCGCGGCCTCGAAATTGAACACCATGTTGGGGATATGCACGATCTGTTCGGTCGTAATGTTGTAGCACACCTCGAGCCCCGTCAGGTCCTGGAGGTTGACGCGGGGGCACCTGGAGCCGAGCTGCGCCACGAAGGTGTCGACGACGCAACGGTAAGCGACGGTGTTGAGGATCGTGAGCGTGGTTCCGGAGTCCAAGATGAAGCCGCCGTTACCCTGGCCGTCGATGGCGAAGGCGGAGGCCGGGATGTACAGAGCCTCCGAGCCGACTGTGACGTCCAGCAGGTTGACGTAGTAGAACGGGATCACGCTGGGCTCGTACGGCGTCAGCTGGGGCGTGAACAGCGTTCCGCTCACGTTGGCCGGCACGGCGCTCTCGCCGAACAGCAGCGGACTGCGGGCCGATTCGGCGTCGTAGCGCCCGAGCAGGCAGTAGGAGAATTTGTTGACGTTGTTGAGGAATGGCGCGATCTGCGACGGGAACGAGATGGGCCCGCGCGCCAGCCCGACCAGCCCGTCCGTGCCCGAAAACGTTCCTTGGTTCCTGAGCCCGCAGCCGAATTTGAAATTGTCGATGGCCGTGGAGGTGCCGTTGGTGTTCTGCAGAGTGAGAGTCTCGAGAGAGAAATCTCCCTCGGTCTGGGATTGATCGGCATAATTGTACGTGTACTGGCAATTGGGCGTGCAGGTGAGCTCGCTGCGTCCCAGGACGTCGCACTCAGTGCATCCCAGCGGGCTGTAAGTCGAGGAGAGCGACGGGTCGAAGAGCGTGCCGTTGAAGCTGACATCGCACGTCGAGCACTGCAGCCAGACGAGGTCGCTGCCCGTGTCGGCGATGGCGATGAAATTCTGTGGCGGGGTGCCGAGCGAGATTTCCATCGAGTATTCACCCGGCGTGGCTTGTATGTCCGTGGTGAAGTCCAGCATGCTTCTGCCCTTGTGCTTGTGGTATGGCGCATTCCTTGCCTTGCGATCCAGCGACTTGCCCCGGGCTATGCTCGCGTCCACGTCCCGGCGCACCTTCTGTAACATTGTGGAATTCTCCGTCCCCAGGTTGCCGCTCGTGACTATCAGGCTCGCTCTTTGCCCGTCGTGGTCACAGTTTCTTCCTTGGGCGTTTCTCCGAGATGTCGTCCCGCGTGCAGGTGCGAGCTCTGGGGGCGTTTCAAATGCGTCGTCACCCAGCCCGTTCGTTGATTATTGAGTGCTGCACAGAAGTAGGCTTGCACGGCCAGCAGCACGAAAATCGAAAGAATCGCACTCGAAGCCATACTCAGAGACTTGAGCTTCAAAACTGTGCTACACAAGTTTTCTACCGCTGGCGAATTGGGAAGTGTTCAGATTTCAGATACAGAAATCAGAGGTCAGTTACAGGGCAACAAAACTGCCACCCGGATGTGTACACCGAAGTCAGCCTTCGTGTTTGAATCCTGACGAGAGTAAAGCCTGTAAAATTGAAGGACAATTGCGAAGCAATGTGCAAAGCAATGTGCAAAAGCTCCGCTTTGATTCTGCAGCAGGACTCAGTGGACACTAGTTTTTGCTCTCTAAGCAACCACACTAGTGGCTGTGCATCTCCTCCCCTCTTCCGCCCGGAGATGCACGGAGTCCACACTCTGCAAGCAATGTCTTGGCATGAGAGCGAGTTTGAGACTTCTTATAGTCTGTGGAGTCAGAACGAAGAAGCCCATGTCAGGTACCGGGAAGGTTGGGCCAGGTACGGGGGACGGCAGTTGCTTCCACAAGAAAGGGTCGGCTGTCTAAGAAGGTGAATATCGGAGGATTCCTACGATGTATTGCTACCTACGTTTAATTTATGTTCAATTCTCCAACCATTGAATGAATTTCTGAGTTATTTTCAAATTATTCAAGTTCCCAAATTCTTGGATTAGTTTTTCAAAAATGAAGAAACTGAGTGTCATCTGTGTTTACTTACTTCAAACTTCAATTTGTGCTCTGGCTGTTTAATGAATGATAGTTTTTGTTTAATCTCTGTTCAATTCGTCACCCATTGAAAGTATTTGTGAGGTTTTTTGGATATCACAGATCGTAAGTGCTTTGCAATGCAGGACTCCAGAGGGGGTGAACTACGGACAGTTTATGCACGGATTGAACACGGAAAAATGCAGCTAAACAGGAAGGTGCTTTCTTAAATAGCAATGCACGAGCCTTACAGCTTCAAGACCCTTGTCGACGTATCGCGCACTGCATTCCAACACCAGCACGCCCATTTAAAGAAGTGACCGAGTTATAAATGCGATCGTCTTCGTAGGATTGCTCTTAAATTCTTGGGAAAATGTTGAATTTGTCTTTTAGGCTAGAATGGTGACATGCAATTCCCACTTCTATGCACATTACAGCTGATGGTTTTCATGAGGATTTGGATCTCCTAACATGTCTCTCATGGGGGAGTCCCAAAAGTTTCCTGCCTGTGCCTGATAATTGATAAAAGCGAAATTTATTAAGAAGAGAATGATCAGATGGGCAGGGGACAGCGCTCGAGGTTTTAGAGACGGAATTTTTTTCCAAATGCGATATAGGGTCTGTTTACATCGAGAATGCAAAGGAGAGAACAGGACTTTGCACAGTAAATCATCAGACCAACTTCACGTCAAGCATCTCTCGACTCGAAGCACTCACCGACTCAGCCGGTGAGCCGACAGCTAGCCGGCTAACGAAAATTTCTAGCCGGTTAGCAGTGCCCATCTCTACGTCGGAATGTTACTGTGAAGAGAAGCAGCATAGATTCCGGGGCCACCTGTCGATGTCCTTCCTTCACTCGGGCCTCAGATGCCACCGTCCGTTAGGGCGGATGCATCATGTCCAGGTTCGGGCCTAATAGTGATAAGAAAAGCCGTTTCTTCGGAGTTACTGTGGATTTACTTCTAATCATGAACCGGATCATTTGCGGCACAAGCAGACGAGACCTTCTCCCTCTTGAATGTCTACATGTCACGTGGAGCCATGTCACTGGACCCGCCCTCCTGTGTCATGCGGAGACCTTGATGTAACTTTTTTCTGTCTCTCTGGAATGGGGAAATACAAGGTCAGTCTCCTCGATCTGCCCAGTCCTGTCATGCAAGAGCTGCTGGTTGGTTCTCCGGTGCTGGAATGAGTTTTAAAAGCTCCAAATTAGACATGGAGTTTTAATTACACCAAATAAGCAAGTCGAACTAAGGTGGTTGCTGATCAATGATCAGCAACCACCTTAGCTCTAATCAATGATCAGTGATCATTGATTAGAGCGGCTAGGAAGATTCGAGCCGATCAGTTCTACTGGTGTGTGGCACCTTTCTATGTAATTCAGATGTAATATATGAGGATTACTGATAGGCTTGGCCACGGTCCGGTTAACGGTTAACCAATAGTTTAACCGTGACAGATTTGATATAGAAGGCTTGATGTTGAAAAATCCTTAGGAGTACGAGCTCATCAGTGTCCGGCTGGCAGGGCAGAGAGGGAGGGAGAGAGATAGATAAATTAAAATGGTAACTGGTAAGAGAGAGAGGAGTGCTTGTGAGGAGGGGAAATGGAAGAGGAGGGAAGTGGATGTGAACGATTGTATGAATGCGGGTGAGAACAGTCGAGGAAGCTGTGGTCAGGCTGGACTTAACGGAGAACGCTGCGAAGAGGAGGTGTTTAGAAAAGGAAGCTACGCCTGGCGTTCAGGCCATGGCGCAGCGTAGTAAGAAATATGATCGTCAACTGCGGTGAGTTTTTATAAAGCCCCATGGGTTTATTTTATCAATGCTTTGTCCCATTTGATTCTGGCACGAAAATTGAGAATCGGAAATGAAGCTTTTGTGAATTATCCGATCATATGAATACGTTATCCTCCGTCGTGTTCAATTTCCATTAATCTGATTTACATTATTTAATTGGATTCGTGGACACGCTGTGTTGATTCATTGAGGATGCGCTCGGTGCAGAATATGAAAGGAGCAAGGACAAGAAGCCTTGGAGAAGGCAAATATTTGTGTGCTCAATGTTGGACCGACTGGTGCAGAAGCGCTGAAGAATTTTCTCAGAAGCGTGGTGAAAATTTTTCTCTGGGACCGGTTAAACCGGACCGACGGTTAACCGGTTAACCGTCAGTCCGGACCGGACCGTGGCCAAGCCTAATTACTGAATCCTGCCAGTGACAGAAATTTTCTTCATTTATTTGAGATTAAAGTCAATCGGCCTGTGCGGGAGTCAAATGGATCTGGACTCGAAGGCAAGCCATGGCAAACTGTTGTCGAGTATTTGGACTATCTGGACGTGTCCAGGTCCAGCATTTCAAGTTGAGGGCGTCGTTCTCTGCTGGAACCAATGAAGAAATAAGCGTACGAAGTGTTGTCCTCTTTCCCGCAGGCACTTTTCAGTGATGCGAATCAGCTTTAGCTTCAGCTTCGCCGCATAAGGAGTAGGGTCGTAGGGACTGAATCGGGGATGGGGGCAAACACCGGCCAGATCCTTGTCCAAGGTGATCGGCGGATGATGACGATGATGCTGCTGCCAACACAAGAGCTTTTGGAGCTGATTCCTAACAGGGCCCGTATCGTCGAGTTTGGTTCCTTCAATTATTGCAACTGTTTAAAAGATTATAATTTTCACGACGAGGTTAGACAATCTTTCTTTCGAATCGTTCGCCTAGAGCGTTCGTTCTACTTCCCTCCCCTTGGATCTGCGCAACAATTCCAAAGAACTTCGATTCGTGCGGCCTAGTGGCTTTCCGAAGCAGAGTCGTGGAATGGACGAGCAGGAGAATTCGAATCAGTCCAGAACAATTACTCGTCCGCCCCTCGTCATCAGACACGGAACATTAGGGCGACTCGCCAACATTCTGAAAAATCCTGCCATTTATTTTAGGACGAGAAAACAATAACTATCGATTTGTCAGAGGACCAAGAGGCGTTGTTGGCGGCTGGGATGCTGATTCCGATATCTTTGTAGATATGGCCTGCCAGATTTCCCGGAGTCGCCGCATTGATGGCGTTAAAGCAGGGTTCCTAAAATCTGGCGTTTTATTTTTAGACGCCAGATTTGCCAGAATTAATCTGGAAAATATGCCAAAATTAATCAAGCCCACTTGGTCGACACCTGTATGAAGTTTCGACAAATAATACAAGGATAAGGCGGGAGGTGTAGGAAGTCAGAATGTAGAGAATCTCGCACGCATCCAAGGGGAGGCGGGGAGTGGATAGCGGGAAGGAGTATCTTAGGTTAGGAATGCATTCCCGAAGTTCTCTTGTCTCGAACGCAAGCACCGAAGTCACAACGAAGCTTTTGCAATCCATCATGAGTCGAAAAACTCCGTTTCAGGTCAAACATGGCGTCGAGTTTGGTTTGCAACCAGTACAACGATCTGTACAGGGCACCATCACAACAGTTCAGTGTTTATTTTGCGTCCATATCGGTCGTGAAAAACGGGATGGTGCAGGTGTGAAGCGACAGAGAACCAAGAACACGCAACTGTTTCAGTTTCCGTTTCGTCTTGAAGCCTATAAAAATCACTTGGAGTCTCAGCATCCTGAAGATTGGACCAGTTACCAACTGCTTTCGTATCAAGAAAAGGTTAGTTTCTTCAAGACCAGAGATATATCAGGCATACACCGTTACCTAGACACAGACAAGGACACTCTTCAGTTTGTAATTTCTCAGTCTCCGATAGTTGATGTTGTGGTGGGAGATTTGTTTTTTCATCCGGAAGAAGACGAAGAAGACGATGTGTTCCAACCAATCACCAAGGCCAACGCCATGAAGTTGTTCAAACTGCAGCCAGACGGATCATACTTGGTTACGATCAAGAACTCTTTGCGGTTCAACCTTGCCATGCAACATGTTTATGTTGGACTGTCATTTAGGCAGACAGCCAAGGTGATTGAACAGCATCGTGTAGCGACCAAGAATCCAAAATTGAACGGCCTCAACGATCATATGGTGAGTCAGTTCGTGCGTGTGCTCCTTGCCGTCGCCCTGCAGATCATCTCCGATATACTCATGGATCCAAACATTTGGGCGTTTTCTCTAGCGGCCGATGCAAGCACACATTTGGGAGTTCCTGTCCTTGACCAGCAAATTTAACGGTTAAAGCCTTCGAATTGAGGACCGTACTAAGCAATTGCATCTGATTGGCTCGGCGTGTGGGGCTCGACGTCTGGGCTCGTACGCATCATGCACTTTTGAGGTCCCCGGCACGGAGTCAATCTTCGCAGAGGCCCCCGGCTGGTCCGGGCTCAGGCGACCGCGATCGCCATCATCATCGGTACAGCACACGCTGCGATGCAGACAGCGAGCTCTGTCCCGATCGAAGGGAGGATGAGTGCAGCCCACCCTCGACGGTTTGCACCTGATCGTCGTCGTCGACGTGCAAACCGTCGAAGAATTTTCACGTGCAAATAATTGCCCACTCCTCGTCGACGACGACGATCACAGATGCTGCTGCTGAACATGAAGTCGCCGATTTGCCCTGCCATAGCCCATAGCCCGCCATCTTCGAGGTCGACCCTCAGCATGCCCGGACACGATGTTCGGAGGTCAAAGGCGCATCAGGAGTGTCGACCCATCGACGATCCAGAGTACGTTCAACGTCAACTCCATGCTTGGACTTGGACTGTGGTGCGGACAGATGCGACTTACAAGGCTTCGTCTACCAGATTCCTTCCTTCCTTCCCCTAACCAAGTAACTAATCATCCGAGTACGGAAGTATCGGTTCCAAGTGAATAGCAAGAGGGACCGAATCAATCACCAAACGTTACAAAGAACATATACGTAGGTGTTTTTTTGCATGTAGAGGATTTATTTATAGCATAGAGCTTAGAAGAACGGGTCCAAATGTGGCCCCGGTACAGCCCACAAATTACGGAGAACCGAAATTGGGCTATTACGGAGCCAGAGTTCTTGGTGGTGACAGGACTCTCGTTTCGAAACAAGCAAAGCTAAGCAGCCAAGTTTGGGTCTCAGCTCTACGAGTACACAGAGTCGTCTGTGAGCTCGCTCTCAGAGGCGATCTGTAAAATCCGCTTCAGAGTGAGGATCGGGAGAAAGAGCTTCAGATTCATATGTACATGGAGAAGCTGAGCCTCTGTCTTGTCTCGGTCACCAAAAGGCACGCATCGACTGTCTATCTTCATCTGCCGATGAAACATTTGTGCAGACACGAGGTTGTTGTAACTGAAGGACTGCCAACGGTGATCTGAGAGCATTAGCATCTCCCAGCAACCTGCCCACCAAGAATGAAAGACCTCTTAGCAATATGCAATTTTTTCCGTGAAACGTGTCCCAGCAAAAAATAAGGAAGCCAGCCAGGCTTCAAAAGCTCCATTCCTTCTCTTCTGACCGACCGGACTGAAGAGAATTTTCCACAAGCTCCAGGTCGGGCAGAAATTGTCGATGGTAGCTGAGAAAGAAAGATCGGCTCGATCGGACGACGATGTGAGAGAGACCTGTCGAAATTCTCCTCGCAACGAAGTGAGAACTCTGGCTCGACGCTCGCGGCTGGCACAAACAAAGGGAACGATGATTTTCTTCGTGGTTAAGGCCCCAGAGGTTCTGAAAAAGCACTTCAACCGTAGCCGTGGGGTTTCGTGTGGCCTGAGACGTGGGGTTTTCCATCGACGTCGACCGCCGCCGTCGAAGGGCGGCTGGCTTGCGGCACGAAAGATGGATACTGAGTGTCATCAATTTTGGTACCGGCGTGTGCTGCATGCGCATCATCATTCGGTTTTGGTTTGACCACCCCGAAATTCTTCTCGTGTAGACGACGAGCCCTCCTGAGAGCCATGACAATCCACACGACGAGCGGCAAAAGCAGAAAGCCGATACTAACGATGGCAATGATTCCCACAGTATTCGACGGGCTCCCGCATAGAACAACGATGGCAGGAACGCACAAGCAGAGTGTCGCCACGGCGAAAAAGCCGGTCCATTGGACTAAAGTCCTTTTGTTCTCCATATTTCTTCGCTGCATTTTCCTCAAAATGGAGACCAGACCTGCTGTCCCACACAGACCAAAAGCAATCACCAGATACAGTTGCCAGTTGCCCCTCCCATGGTACCCTCCCCCATAGAACACCGTCGTACGCGCTCGTAAGTTTCTTGCTGGGCCCATTTCGTTCCAGAAGATGCAACGAACCTCTTTCAAATCCTCGAAGCTGCTTCGAGCGGGTTCTTAGTCCGAAGCACTTCGATGCACAGATCCAGAATGACAAGCTCAGTCCTCGAACGAAGGTCTTGTACCCAACAGCAGCTGAAACTGGCGATTCCGAGGACCAAATTAAAGGAGCAGCTGGCGGGAGCTACTTGTCAGTGAATCTCGAGCGAAAAACATAAACTATAATGAGAGAGAGAGAGAGAGAGAGAGAGAGAGACCATATTCAGAATGACACTCGAGCTGTCATGTTTTAAAGGCGCAGTGAGCACAATGAGCACATCGTACGTACACTACAAGTTCACCCATCACACCTTATCTTATCGAATGGTGGTTGTGTTAGAGTGCTTGAGATTTCAAAGTCCAGTCCAGTGTGGTCGTGAGTCGTTGGGTGTGACTACTTGCTAGGCCTTGTACTCTCAACCGGATGCTGTAACTTGGCTGGTGGAGGGCTCGAAGTTTCGACGGATTGGAGGATGAGACAGCGACATCTTGGATAATTTGCTTCGCTCGATTTGACGCACGTACGAGATCCAGTTCAACGACGAGGTGTTTGTGCATATCCATGACTTTTACATGTGATTGCTTCTTGGCTGTTACCTCGTTCAATTACCCCTCTCCTCGCTGTCGAGCCATTAAAGCAAACTTTTGAGCCGGTGACTCTCGTAAAACCTAGCACTCACTCCACGGTCATCCGTTCCTCATCTACGTGGTACCCTCTGCACCACGTCCAAATGCCTCCTGCCTACTTCCGGTCCAATCACCGACAGAGCTCTGGAGGATGTGCTTGTGCAACTCTCAACTACGAGGTTTAGTCGGGATCTTGGTTGGGGTGCCGCCAATCTACGTCCGATCCATCCATCCGGTGCTCTTTTTCAATGGTCTTCAGAGCTGTGGATCAGCTCACGACGTCGCGGCTATGACCCCCCCGTCACGCATCGAGTCCGACAGTCGTGATCAGGCCGTGAGTGCACCGTCGCGTCGTGTGAGATGCGAGTTTGAGTCCATACAATGGTAATAGACCAAGCCCCGTGTCCTGAAGTGTCCAAAAAGTGAAAAATACAATTCAAACAAAAACTATTAACGAGGGAAAAGACCCCAAAGTCCAATCTAGTGTTAAGAGCACTAGACCATTAAGTAATATATATCTAATATAACAATTTAAATCAAAATAAACTAATTGTAATAAAGAATAGAAATTCTCCACATCTATATTATGAGCCAACCTAATGTCTTCGTACCTAGAACAAATTCCAAATACATGCTCTTCATACTCAATGTACCTATAGTCATATAATCTACATATAGGTTCACCCCTATTAATATTAAGCCAAAATTTTTACTCAATTCCAAAACTATGAGATCCAGTTCTATGCCTAGCAATAATATGACGTAAGAACGTAAAGATTCCTCCAAGTAGATAATTTTGTTCACAATAAACGAGCATAGGATTCACATGAAATTGATAGACTACGTGTTGGTGCCGCACTTGCTCCAAATAATGTTTAGAAACTCCTTCTTTAGACGTTCACGTAGTGCTATAGGTTGCAAGTCCCAATCGCATTCTGTCACATACCACCTCAAAGACCAAGTTATTGCATCCGCTAACTATCATTTGGCACGTGTGGCATTCAAAGCTTGAAGAGAAATGCGAGAAGCATCAAGAGATCTCACCCTTATGATGTAAGTGATGGTCATTTATAGAGCTTCAGCCTCTAGAGGTAAACAACCTGTTTCCGCAAGAATAATAGCACATGGAGTTTGATTTCTCACACCCAATTCTTCTTGTAAAAATATTTTCTGCAACCTTTCGACACGCTCCCAACTTGTCTTCTTGCAACCACTTTGGGTTTCATATAATACTACCGGTAACACTAAGCTTTTGAATAAAAAATGTCTAAGACTCCAAGACATTAGATGAGACCTTCTACACCAATTTAACAATGAATATAGAGCTTTGTTACCAACTTCTACTCTCTTTTGCACGCAAAGTGCCCAACTATAATCATTAGAAAAATCAATGCATAGATATTTATAACTCTTTACCTGTTCTAATTGTTGTAATAGAAGTAAAACTTGGATCTAGTGCCCACTATCATGACTTTAGACTTCTCCATATTTACCTTTTTCTAATTCTGGGTACAAAAGCTAGCCAAAGTGTATATGTGTTTATGTAAATTAATTGTATCACGTGCTAGTAATATGATATTATCTGCATACAAGACAGCTTTGATAACAAAGTTTCCAAGCTTGACACCTTCACTATCACATGCTTTTAACTATTCTTCGTTATCATCTATAAAAATTCCAAATAGAGTATGAGAGAGAGTACAACCTTGAATCATTCCAATGGTACTCAAAACCTCTTAAGTTTGAAAAGTGTTGATTTTGGCTCAAATAGAATGGTATAATGTGGCCACAGCTGCTAGAAGATGTGATGGTACTCCAATGACTTGCAACATTTTCCATAATTTATCACAAAATCTTTCTTAAAATAAATGAAGGCACAAAACAAAGTTATTTCATTACCCTTTGACTTCTCCCATAAAACATGCAAAGCCAAGATATGGTCAATGATGTTGTATGTAGGGCTCAAATCTGCTTTAAATTGCGCTCTCTTTCGATGAGATTCAGTCCATGTGCTCAACTTTGACTCCACCAATTTGCCAAACAACTTGGCAAAAACACTACCCACCATGATAATGCTATAGTTTGTCACCAAGTCTTTCTTTCCTGACTTGTGAATATAGAAAATCTTCCATAAAGACCAAGTTGAAGTAAAATCATACATAGCAGCATTCTTTAACGCTTTAGTGAGTATTGGTCCAATAACATCTCCTTCTCACTTCAAAAGTTCAATAAAGGACTTCAAATACTCCGATTTATCATTTGTTTATTTGATGACTTGAGTCATCATCTTTTATTGAGAAAATAAGCCAAATATTCCCTCACAACAAGGCATTGATGCAACGTCGGGAAAGCTTTTCAGCAAAGTCAATTAAACTCTTGGGATCAAGAGTAGGTTTAGAAGAACGTACAGCTAACCATCTTCAAAAAAAATTAAAATTCTCCATGAACTCCTTTGTCAAGGATTCTTGCTTCATCCTAAAAAAAGCTTGTTTCTTAGATTTAACCAAGTCTTTGTAAAGCCTTGTCAAGGTAAGCTGACTTTGGATATCCAAAGATTTGTCAACTAATCACATCCTTGCTTACTTGCAATCAAAGTCAAACCATCAATTGCAAGGAAGATTCCTAGCTCTTTGATCCTTGTGCCACAAAAAGAACTTAGAAGCAATGTCTTTGAGCAATTTTGCTAGTTGCCCACTCGATGTATGTGGATCAAGTCTCCATGAAGTGTGGATCAATAGGTTTTAAAAATGTAGCATGTAATGCTCTTTTTTACTAGGATCCAAACAAAACTTGGAAGAAGCTAAAACAGAATGGCATGGAGAGAGAGGAATTGTTTGTTACAAGAAGAGAGTAAATAAGAGATTTGCATGATCTAATCCTAGCTGAGGTTCTAGAATATCAAATTTCAAAATAAAAGAGCAATTAGTGGCCGAGGATAGAAGATAATCAATACTGCTAACACTTGTAGAAGAAAAACACGTATTGAAAAAGGAGTTTGTAAAGAGAGAGATATCATTGAAAACTTTCAAAGTACTTGTGGCTCAAAAGGTCAGAAAGTTTTCTGTCAAAAGATTTGTACAAGTATCAGAAGAGTTTCTAGACCACAACTATCCTTCAAGTTCTTGAAAGGAGTAAGAAGTCAAAAGATCACCAACTTGGGTAAATTGTGCATAACGTATCGAGCATTGAAATCTCCAACAAGAAAAACTTCATTTTTGCTCTCATAATTAAGAACATCTCTTATAAGTCGATGGAATGGTTGACTCTGATTGCAAGTGCGTGTGGAGTAGATAGTCATGGACAATGATGCAAAGTAACGAATAGCCAAATAACTATAAGATACTTGAGCAAATTTAATATGAAGCCAATGATATTGAACTCCAATATCCTGACCTTCTAAATGTATCCGAGGTAAAAATTGAGATCTGATGAAAGTAGCAATAACGCCATAGCCTCTTCCTGCTCGTTAATTTCTGTGATTCCAAGTGAATCCCACCAAAGTATACACTGGTATCTCTCAAATAGTGTTGCTCTCATGATCCCACGTCTCCACAATGTTGATGATGTCTATCATCTTCCAATTGGATCAACACTCACATACTTTTTTGTAGAAAGACCTATAATATTTCACATAAACACTCTCAAGCTATTGGATTGCTAGATTGATGATAGTCTTTTTCGTTGAGTGACAATTGTTTGTTCATCATGAAGATAAGCAAAAAATCATGCATCTTGAACTTCTTTGACTTTTGAAAGCTCCTTTCTCCTTGACTCTACTTGTAAAGGTGTAAAATCATGATCTAATCAAATCCTACGTCCCTTGAGAACGGCTTTGTTAGCTAAAGCCGTATCACGTTGAGTTCGGTCATTAAACTTAACTATGATAGCTCGAGATTGGGTTCATATAGTTCCAATGCAAAAAGCTTAAGCCACATCTGTATTAGTAACATCAAGTGTTTCAACCAAAAACTTGGTGACAACACTCTTCTCCTCTTCCTTCTTAGATTTAGGTAGACCAAAAATCCTCACATTCTTTCTACGAGAAATTTCATTTGACTTTTCAATCTCTTGCTCTTGACAAAAAAAGATATGAGCAAACTTGTTGGCTTGCTACCAAACAGATTTCATCTTCATTACTAGATTTTCAATCACTTCATGCAATCTAGTAGTTGCAACAGTGGAAACTTGAGAGTCAACTTTCTCTTGAATGTACTCAACATGTTCTGAGATATCAACCATGATCTTTTCAAAACTTTTTTAAAAGAGCTTCAGCTGCCAAATTCATATTGAGTAGCAATTAAAGTAGAATTATGCACATTTTATTCTTCACGGAGTACTTTCAACTCTTCCAAAACCCTTTACACAAGATTGAGTATCAATTTGTCTTGAAAAGTCATCATGTGAATTTCTTTCAAAAACTCAAGACTCAAAGATGTCTCAACTTTGTCTTTCAATTTGAGTTTGGTTTCAAATTTTAAACGCTCGTGCTCCGTGCTTAGTTCCAAGCTCTCACAAAGTTTCAAGTCTAGTGCACACTCTAGCCCAAAGTTACAGCCTTTGCAAGATTCAGCCCTTTACTCTCAAAAACTCAAACCTCAAAAATCTCTCAACTTCGTGCTCCAAATTGCGTTCAGTCTGAGATTTTGCAGGCTTGTGCGCTCTGCCCAATTTCAATCTCCTACAAAGTTTCAGATCCAGTGCACACTTAAGCTTGAAGATACAGCTCCCGTAAAAATTGACTCTATTCTCCTCAAATCTTGAAACTCAAAATTGGATGCAATCTGCTTATGATACTCTGTTT